ATATTGTTAGAAATGTCTTAAATCCAATAAGCAACTTACATCTCCCTAAATTAGTGATATTTAGAACAAGGTATGTCTTCTGCTGGGCCCTCTAGAAGCTCTGACCATGGGGCTATCACAAGAAATACAAGTTCCTATTTTTGACATGGGCTTCTAAGTCAAAGAAGCATGGTTCCTGCTCAAGCGACCTCATTTCCCCTGTACCTGAGCTGTCACTCTGGGATTAGAGTCCAGGAACAGCGTCTGGACTGAAGTCTGGACTGTGAGAACTCCTACCCAAGACCATTGTACTGCTCAGCAAGCATATTGTGTTTCCAGTCCTGTATCCTTCTACATGAAACCAATGACAAGCCTGAACTGTTTTAATCATGTAAGTGTAAGATGTCCAAATGAGTTGAGGCCAACCAAAAGTGCTACAGCATGCGTGTGAAACGAGGGCAGGAAAGAGCTCAGGAAGGGTACTCACGTGCACGTCTGGAATGGGCTTGGTGAGGAGGGAGATGACCAAGACAGTGATGAGAGAGATAACAAAGAGGATGATTGCAAAGTACAAGTAGTGCACCCCACAGATGATCGTGGGACAGTTGCTGGGCTCCATGCAGCTCCCCGTTCCATAGGCAAACTCAGCGATCATACGGGAAATTCCAATAAGAAAGCCTAGAATCAGTCCCCAAAAGGCTCCCTGAAAATGAAAATCCTGGGTTAACTAATGCTGAATCCACACATAAAAACATGGAAGAGAAAGCAGCTGAGCATTTTAATTTTCCTAAGGTTGGAAGACAGAGATAAAGGAACAAAGGAAAGAGAAATGGTATCTCCAGGCCATCGGAAGCCAGAACACCAGAATTCAGATTATGGCTAAAAGTGTTAAGTCAGGCTTAATTAAGTCTTTGATGATCTTTGATGAATAAAGGAGAAACAATTTTTTCCATTAAAATATAAAGGATCTGCAACCAGGTGTGGGTAGCACATACCTTTAATCCCAGCACTTGGCAGAGGCAGGCCTCTGTGAGATACAAGCCAGCCTGATCTAAATAGCAAGTCCCAGGCCAGCTGGGCCTACAAGGAGACCCCATCTCAAACTTTGTGTGTGTGTGTGTGTGTGTGTGTGTGTGTGTGTGTGTGTGTCTGTGTCTGTGTCTGTGTCTGTGTCTGTGTCTGTGTCTGTATATGTAAAGAAAGTTTCGGGACTGGAGAGATAGTTCAGCAGTTACGAGCACTGGCTGCTCTTGAAGAGGACCTGGGCTCAGTTCCCAGCACCCACATGGAAGCTAGCAACTGTCCATAACTCCAGTTCCAAGGATTCCAACACCCTCTTCTGACCTCCTCGGGCATTACACTTCATGGGTGTGCTTACATTCATGCAGGCAATACACTCATACACATAAAATAAAATAAACAGAAAGAAAGAAACAAAGCTTCCTTCTTCAGTTACCTTTATAGATCCAAAGCCACTATTTAAAATTTGAGAACATAGATCATACTATGTGTTTGAGGCTAGATTTGAGAAATATGGAAGGCTTTTAAGACTAAAACTACTCTTTTAGAGATTTTTTTACTCCCTTCTCTTTCTACCTTTCTTCCTCTCTTTTCTCCTCCTTCTTCCTTTGGTTTCTTTCTTTGCTTTTAACCAGTCCTCAGCTACAGAACCAACCACTTCTGAAAGGCATACTTTGTAGATAAACTGCTTGAGCACCAAAGCTTTGTCCTTCATTGGGCCCTGAAGAATGCTGAATAAAAAAGTCAAGATCAAAGCAAAACCATTGGTGATAACTTGTACTAGAACTTCCCTGGAGCTGCTCATTCAAAGGCTACAAGACTTCCTAGTGGGTACCACATAGTCAGGTTAGAATCATCAAGACTGGATAGAAAGTGTACAGTATTATTTGGAGCTGGAGAGATGGCTCAGAGGTTAAGAGCACTGGCTGTCCTCACAGAGGACCCAGGTTCAATTTCCAGCACCCACATGGTGATTAACAACCATCCATAACTCCAGTTCCACAGGATCCAACGCCCTCTTCTGACCTCCATGGGCACTGTACAACATGGGTACACTTACATACATACAGGCAATACACTCATATATAAAATTTTAAAAAATAAATATTTTTTAAAAAGGAAAAGCAAGAGTACAGTATTAGTTGGAACCTTGTAGCAAGAACAGGGGAATCAGAAAGAAAGCAGATCTGATAGTAAATCCTAAAGAGTTCACACCAGCACTCAAAGATCCTCATGGTTCCTTGAGCTTTCCCGTACAAACCTACAGCAGCACATGCATTTCTGTCCAAGATCTTAGGAATACAGAATCCTCGTAGGGCATATGCAGACCCCATAAGAAGCTTTTGTGGCAGAATGGTTTTTTTGTCAGAATGATACCTACTTGTTCATTGACTCTCTTGCAGAAAATAGCAAGCAGGAAGACAGCTGCAATGGGCGGCCCCAAGTAACTGGTGATAGACTGGATGTAATCAAAGAGCTGCCCACTTTGAGCTGACTGCACAATGGGCACCCAGGCAATGCTGATGCCAATCAGCAAGAGGATGAACAACCTGAAATCAAAGCCCCACAATAGACTATCAGTGCTCTACATGAACAACTACATATCAATTATATATATAAAAAAATATCATATATATGTATCACATATGTGTGTGTCACCAGAAAATATCATCTTCACAATGGTCCTGCAAAAATGTTGCATCAAAAGGTTGAGACATCAGGGGCATCTGGGCCTCAGAGAAGGCTGGTATAGACAAATGAGTGCAGAAAATGAAAGATGAACTGGGACAGTATGAAGGGCCTTAGGTGAGGACTGCAGATTACAGTCCTGGCTCTGCTCAGTCCAGGCTGATTCTATTAATACTCATTGGTAACTGGAGAGATAAAGCAGTTCTCACTCTAGAAGAGCATCATTCAATAACTTCCTATGCAAATTTAAATGCCAGGACTCAGGGGGTGTAGCTCTGTGGTAGAGCACTTGGTCAGAATGTACAAAGCCCTAGGTTCAATCTTCCAGTAGCCGCACCCCCCCCCAAAAAAAATAAAGTTAAGTTCGTGTCAAGGGTATGGTACAGGGTAGTAGATGAAGGGCTAATATAACTAGCCACAGAGATTTCTCCAATCAGACCAAGCATCTGCTAATCCTGCCTACCTTGAGGGCTACCATGGATGGAACCTCTGTGATCTTCCAAGCTTCTATGGTTCCTGGCAGGGGGGAGCTGCACTTACCTTCCTGCAATCATGAGCTCTCTCTCAGTTGCTTTCTTCCGGATCCTGGTATAGATGTCCATGGTGAAGAGAGTGCTGGCGCTGTTGAAGATGGAGGTCAGGGAGCTCATGAGAGAGGCCATCATCACAGACAACATCAGGCCTCGCAGTCCTAGAAGAGAAGGAGGTTCTGAGTGACATAGCCAACACCCCAGCTCCTTGCTGTTTGTATATGAATACCCAAGATTGTTTTGCTTTTAGAAACTATGCTATGTTCTCCAATTTATCTCTCAAAAAAAATAGATGTTTTAAGAAATAGATTGTAGGGGGCTGGAAAGATGGCTCAGCAGTTAAGAGTACTGACTGCTCTTACAGAGGACCCAGGTTCGATTCCCAGCATGCACATGGTGGCTAACAACCATCTGTAACTCCAGTTCCAGGGGATCCAATGCCATCTTACATATATACACACAAAATAATAATAAATTAAATTGAATTATTTTTAAATTTTTAAATGGCAAAGAATCTGAACAGCTATTTTTCCAAACATATATAAATGGCCAATAATGTTATGGGAAAAAATGGTTGGCATTACGGATACTCAAATTAAAAACATAGATACTATTTCACCTACCTAGATTATAGGGTTTTTTATTAAAAGGTAGAAGATAATAGTGTTGAAACAAAGACCCTCCCAGATTTTTGGCAGAAATGTAAAATGGTAATATCATATGGAAAACTGCCTGGAGGTTATTCAAATAGCTAAAGATAAGGCTATCATATGAGCCATTCTAATCCCAGGTGCATGCCCAATAGAAACAAAAACGTATGTTCACACAACAATATGTGCACTATTATTCATGCCAGAATTCTTTATAGTAACAAAAAAACAGAAGTAACTTACAAATGTCCATCAGCTGACCAATGGGTAAACAAAATAAATAAGCAATTGATAAATGGGTTTATCAGTTTCAATGGAATATTATTCATCAATAAAAAGGAAAGGAATATACATACATTATACAACACAGATGAGTCTAGAAAACATGTTAAGGAAAAGGAGCCAGTCACAAAGAACCACATACCGCTGTATGTTTCTATTTATATGAACTATTCAGAGCAGGCAAATCTACAGGACTAGAAAGCACATAGTGGTCACACAGAGCTGGGAGGGCAGGCGAAATGTGTTTTCTTCACAGGTACAGGATTTTTTTCAGGGTGATAAAAATTTTCTGAAATTGATGGTAGTGATTGTGTGATTCCATCACTCTTTTAGGCTTTATATCTATGAATAATTTATGGTCTCATCCACAACTCTATATGATGTATTATTTTAAAAAAAAAAAAAGCTGCCTGTTCCTATTACGTTGCCATTTGTTGGGAAGTTTGTTAATGGCACCTGTGGGCTTGTATAATGTAGATTACAGACTTGGAGCTAGAGAAAGAGTTGTAAGGATCATTTATTTCAATTCTCTCCCTCTCTCCCTCCCTCCCTTCTCCCTCCCTCCTTCTCTCTCTCCCTCCCTCCCTCCTTCTCCCTCTTTCTCTCTCTCTCTCTCTCTCTCTCTCTCTCTCTCTCTCTCCCTCCCCCCCCTCCCACACTCTCTCCCTCTCTCTCTCTCTCCCTCTCTCTCTCTCTCTCTCTCTCTCTCTCTCTCTCTCTCTCTCTCTCTCTCTCTCTCTCTCTCTCTCTCTCTCTCTCTGATGCTGGGATTAAACCAAGAGACATGCCCCAGGTAAGTGTTCTACCATTGAATTACATCCCCCAACCCTCAATTTTCTCATCTTTCAGTTGATGAAACAAAGATTAATTTCAATTAGTAGGTTGGGCCTCCAGGGCCAGCTCAACTCAGGGTTCCTTAGTTAATTGCTAGAATGGAATAGAGCTCCTCTCTTCTACTCTTATGAAACCTTCATTCGCTTGTCTACTCAAAAATATTTGTTGAAAATAAGTCCAGCAGCCCAGGCAAAAAAGCAATCATGCTATATGAGACTAGGGTAAGAGAAGTAAAGACAGAGGAAGATAACTATGAGATACTTAGAAGACAAAATGGACAGAATTGTGTGGGTTACTGGGAGAGCACTTACCAAGAAGAGGAGGCAGAATCTACAAATGGAACAAAAAAACAGCACTTTAAGAACACAGGGGGCAGGAAAGAGACAAAGAGGAGAGGATGGTATTGAAAATCTACAGAGAAAGACTCAAGGGCACATGATCACAGTGCTAAATGAATGGAGCGAAGCAAGAGAAGGGATGGAAAACTCCTCTGTGATCCACACAGGGAACTCATGGGAATTCAGTGTTTACAGAAGCCAAATTACCGAAGAGAATGGACATAGTACATGGAGACACAGCACTCTGTTGTTCAGCCCACAGCTTTTTATTGTGTGCAGTTCCACTGTAGCACAGAATGCTATCCTCACTAGGGATAGGCCAGGCAATCTAAAGAAATAGTAAATAGCAAACATCCCTACCAACAACAGTATAATCCAAGAACCGTGTGACTCTTGCTCACTGAACTTTAACAAAGAAGCAGCCCAGCTCAGCTGACCATTATGCCTACTCAAAATTTGAACATAAATTCTCTGTCCAAGATCATGGATGAAGTTTGTGGTGAAAAATTAAAATAAAGCTAAGGCATGGTGGTACATACCTGTAATCTGAGCACTTAGGAGGCTGAGACAGGAAGATTACCATCAATACATTCAAGGCCATCCTGGGCTACATGGCAAGACTTTGTTGCAAAAGAAAAACAAAGCAAAACAGAAAAAAAGGGAGAGGGAAGTTGGGGAGATGGCTCACAGGTAAAGTGTTGGTTGCATAAGCATAAGGGCCTGAGTTTCGATCCCCAGCATCCACATGCAGCCAGGAGCCACAGCACATGTCTGTAACCCCAGCACTGGTGGGATAGATCCAGGCAGATGCTGGGGCTTGCTGGTCAGCCAGTCTAGCTAAAATGGTGAGCTCTAAGCTCAGTGAGAGATCCTGTGTCAATAAAATAAGGTGCTTGGGCTGGTGAGGTGGTTCAGCAGGTGAAAGAGCTTGACATGCATCTGATGTCCTGAGTTTAATACACCAGAACCCACCATGGAAGGAGAGAACCAACTCCCAAAATTTGTGCTCTGACCTCCACATGAACATATCATATACATACATACATACATACACATATACACATATACATACACACAATAAAACCAAATATCTTTGAAATAAGGTGAAGAGCAGTAGAGGTTGACAGCTGACATCTACCTCCGACCTCCAACACACATGCACAGATATGTGCCAAAACATATGTGCACACACACACAAATATTCTGAATAAAGTGAGGTCATACAGTATTTGACTTTCTATGACTAGCTCGTTTCACTGAACATCTCGCAGGGTCATCCATGTTATCATAAATGACCAGATAACCTTCTGATGAGACTGAAGGCATCCCACTGCATATGCAAACCACAGTTTTTATCCATTCGTGTGTTGAACACTTGGGTTGATCCCATGTCTTAGCAATTGTAAAAAGCACTGCCGTGAGCACTATGGTACTGATGTCTCCAGCGCACTGATTTCCTTTTCTTGGACATAAACCCAGTAGTGAGAATGTTAACTCCTACGGTAGTTATACTTTGAAATTGTTTCATGAACCTCCAGTTTTCCATAATGGCTGTAGTGAGTTATATCCTGTTTGTTGGGGCAATTTAAAAGATTTTCTAGTCACGCTGGGTATGGTGGTGTGCGCCTGTAGTCCTAGCACTTCGGAGGCCAAGGCAGGTGGATCTCTGTGAGTTCAAGGCCAGCCTGGTCTACATAGTGAGTTCCAGGCCAGCTGGGGCTATAGGGAGACCCTGTCTCAAAAGAAACCAAAGAAAGCCGGGCGTGGTGGCACACGCCTTTAATCCCAGCACTTGGGAGGCAGAGGCAGGTGGATCTTTGTGAGTTCAAGGCCAGTCTGGTCTACATAGAGAGTTCCAGGACAGCTGGG